TACAATTCTGTGTTTCCTCTCCTTGCATCTCATAACATTGTTTCTGCCCTTGTTTCTCAACTCCTACTTTTGCCTTATCAGCCTTATACTTCTCTTCTAAATGCTTTGTCTACTCGCCCTCGTTGGTGTCATTCATGAGCTTGTTTTTGTGTTCCCACACTTTTAATTTTCACATGCTTAGCATTAGTTTAATCCCATGTTTCACTGCAAGGCTCTTAGGGTCATTGACTGTTAGGCTATTGCTAAATTCTTTGGCTGTCACATACAGCTCATCATAAAGATAAGTAAATTGTTCCACACTATTAAAATTGCAAGGAGAGTCTTTTTACTGTTGTTCCAGCTATATTTTTTATACAAATTCACTGCAGTGTGGAGTCTTGTGGGTATGAAAGAGGGTGTTTCATGAAATAAGGAAAAATACTGCTTTCATCTCTGTTTGGATTTGGTACCAGATGTTGTTTTCATTCAGCTTCAGGATGTGACTGTGTTGCTGATGAGTGTCTGAAGTCCAGTTCAGTACTTGAAGTTAGAATTATGATGTTGTTTGTAGAAATTCCAGCTGATAAGAAATTCTACTGCAAGCCCAAATCATCTCTTCCTAGTTTGATTAAATAATCTGCTTTTTGTGGCTTAGGGGGTACAAAATGACCTGATACTCTTGCAGAAGACTCTCAGAGGGTGAATTCTTGACACGTAAATTTTGCCTTTTGCCTTTTGATGAGCCAGTCCCAGCCATCAGCTTCTCTTTGACTAAGGAGAAGGATTTTGGACTGTCCTTTAGCTGAAATGGTGCAGAGCAATCATTATCGTTGCAGATGTAGCGCTTTAGGAGCCATTGGTGAAATAGATGGTGGTTTCCCTGAGTTCTCCTGAGCTATGAGCGTGCTGATACGGAGCTCCTGCTCTTGTGGAAGAACAGTCAGGATAAAGCAACCCTTACCAATATGCTGGGATGAGTAGAGCACTGAGCAGCGTGGGTTGTGTTCAGTGTTTTGCAGGCCATCCGCAAGACGGTCTGTGACTGGGAGGCAGGTCATGAACCGTTCAATGACCCAGCTCTGAGGGGAGAAAAAGACCCCAAAAGCGGCTTTGACATCAAAGTGCCACGGCGCGCGGTGGGACCCTCCAGTACTCAGGTATTTTCCTGTCTGATGGTGGTGATGCCTGTCAGTGATTACTGCATTTTTGTGACTTGAACTGTCTTAAGGAATCTTCAATCAATCTTTGAGGAAACTTCAAAATCTGCTTTGATTAGATTTATGTTTGCAAAATTATATATACTTAATCAGAATCTGCTGTCTGGGCTGCTGTCACTTGCTGCTCAAATGCAAAATATTTCCAAGTGTTCCAACTCTTTAATTTGATTAACTCGGAGGAAATATATTGAGCTAACATCTTTCAAAAGAATTTCTGGACTATTTGATTTATTTTTAGTCTCATCTCCTTCTAGGCACTCTCTGGTGTATCTGATGGATTGGTTTTGGTTAAATCCCATAGATCAGTAGATGTCTACTTAATTTTAGATTAGATTTAAAATTTAAATTCCTGCCTATAAAATATGAGTTCTGATACAATCCCTCTTATTATTCAATAATGAATGACAAAACTGTTTTTAAAGATCTAATTTTCTTCTAAAAGAACAGGTATTTCAAGTATGTTTTCTGAAATAGTCATTGAAATTCTGTACCTATATGTTCATTCTTACTTCCTCTATATAATTCAATTTTTTATTTTCTTTATATATATATATTTTTCGATGAGTGTATGGTCCTGTATTTGTAGTTTAACTGAGGAAAATAAGTTACTGAATATTTTGAATGAAAAATTGAAGGCAACTGTTATTTGTCAATAAAATATTGTAATACTTAAGATATGTGGGGAGCGGACGTATTGGATAATAATCTTGAGTAATAGTATTGCTTGACTTGCACTAAGATGAGTTTAATGAAGACAATGTTTTGGGAGTTGAAAAAATTACTTTGATTTTAATTTTGTGCAAAAAGCCTTTTTTTTAATATACCACCAATGTGTTTCTTCTGTCCTTGGTATGATTGAGGGCTTTGTTTCAGTGGCTGCAGCAAGCTGGAGCGCACAGATCTGTCTTCCTTTTCTGCTCTTGGGCTGGCAAACTTGTGTGTCTTGGCTGAGAGGAAGAAGGGAGGTCAAATACATCCATGCTAGACAACGTTCCCTGCAGTTCTAAAAGGGCTGCTTATGAGTTGGTCATACTTGGGAATAGTCTTGAAATAGTTTGGGAAGCAAATGGCCAAGAGTCTCCTTCAGCGTTTTCTGAATCAGTGGGGACTTTTCCATTCCCTTGGAAGAGCTCTGGCTCAGAATAATAATTCCGTGAGAAGAAGCCTTTCTGTTTCAGAAGGGTATATCTTCCTCTGCAAGCTTGCTATACTGCTTTTCATTTTTAACAAACTAACACATTTTCTGTGCTTCTCTTTCCCGTTCCTTATTTACCCGTGTGTTGTTATTAACGGATTCTCTCTCCCCTGCCTGCCCCTGTCTGTTGGTTTTTAGCTCTACATGGTTCGCACTATGACAGAGTCCTTGAACTCTGCCGAGCTGTTGAAGCAGCTCAAGTCTCTGGGACTGGAAAAGCTCTTGCATGTGACACACAAGTTTCTGAGGCAGTCCTACATCTATCCGCCTCTTTTAAACTTTGGTGGTAAGACATTACTTATTACTCTTACTTTTGCGGTGATGTGAACTGTTCCAATGCAAGTGGTGTGCTGGAGGTGCCCTCGGCACGGGTAGGCCGCTGTGCTGCTGCGTCGGCTGGCGCTGTCGCCTCAGAGGCTCGTGGCCACGCGGGGCCAGTTCTCAGTTTGAAGCGGAGCAGTCGCTTACTGATAGTAATGCTCGGTGTCGCTCAACTAATGTACCATGTGTATTTTCCTTTTTCCCCTCCCTTTCCACCACGATTGTCTCCTTTAATGATACAGCTTTACATGGTGAGAACTATGTTAGAGTCCCTCATTGCTGACAAAAGTGGTTCCAAGAAAACCTTGAGAAGTAGCCTTGAGGGGCCCACCATATTGGACATAGAAAAATTCCATCGCGAGTCTTTCTTCTACACTCATTTGATAAATTTCAGTGGTAAGATACATATCATAGATGATCAGTGTCCAGCTTAGCATGTCCTAACACCTCTAACACGACCTGGGGAATGTTTCCGATTGCCTAAGTCAACTTACCTGTGGTTTTCTTATCAAAAGTCTTGGTCTGTCCAAACGTTTTCTGAGACGTGATATTCCATATTGTGATGGGAATTTTATTTTGCCTTTTTGTATGTTTGTTTATAGTGGGTCGAATTTCATATTGTTTCCTCCGTTTTTTTAATATATTTTAATGTATGTATTTATATGCAGGGGACAGATAAGCTCATACACACTGAAAAATTTTAAAAGGGAATCATCGTGTTTTTGGTTTTTTTTGGAGGGGAGGTGGTTGTTTTCATTTTAAGTACAGAGGAAACAAATTCTCTGTTGTGATAAATTTGATGTCATTTCACCACTCTTACTATTCAGTTAATTGTAATCGGAAACATGCTGTCCTAAAGAATTCACCTACTGACATTGAATGTGTCTAGTCTTTGTCATCACCATGCTGTGTTGTCTTTCATTTTTGTTTCGTTACTGGACTCCTAAACCCTCAAAGAAGGGGGAGCCTTTTAATTTCAGTTATAATGACACTTGCAAACAGCACTTTGATTTTTTCAGAAGATCCTAATGCAAAAAGCTCATTCCTGTTTTGATTCTCAAGCATTCTACAAAAGAAGGCTTGAGTCCAGTGTTTGCTAGAGAGATGGGAATCACATTTCTGCATCCTTGACAGTGCCCCTAGAAATGTCTTGTTCTAACCCTGCCTTCATGAATCTGTATCTCGTTTCCTTCCCATCTAATCAACAGGAATGTAGGGAGTCCTCTTGAAGGATAGATAGCACTGATGGATCCAGTAAATCTTGTCTCCATGGCTTGCTACCTCACAAGCTCAAGAGACAGCTTTCACAGCTCCAAATGAGAAACTAAGCTAGAAATCCTCCTGTGACGGTGTTCGCAGGGTTTTTTTTACATGCAATGGGTGGTCTCTTCCACTTAGTATTTTGTGTAATAAGACACCACTTTGGGGACCAACATGGAGTTCAGGATTAGTTGAAAAATGTCATGGGCTTTACATTTTGAATTTGGTTCACACGTGGCCTATGTATAGCTCTGGTGATTCACGCCCGCTTTTTTTTTTGTTTGTTTCGCAATACATCATCAAAATCACAAATGTATTTTTCTTAACGTGCCTCTTCAAGAAGTGTAATTCTGCCTTATTTTTTTTCGGGAAGAAACCTTGCAGCAGTGCTGTGATCTGTCTCAGTTGTGGTTCAGGGAATTCTTCTTAGAGCTGACCATGGGCAGAAGAATCCAGTTTCCCATTGAGATGTCCATGCCTTGGATTCTGACGGATCATATTTTGGAGACCAAAGAGGCATCAATGATGGAGTAAGAGACCTACTTGTGCTCTTCCACTGAACAAATATTCTGCATGATGGCCACTGCACATTATGATGTTGCTGCTTTAGTTGGTTTCACCAAGCAGTCACTCCGAGTGTTCTCAGCTTAGGTTTGCTGATTTCAAGAATTCTCAAGCTTAAAGTGTCACTGCACCAGCCAAATATGTTGTTCCTTGGATCAGTTCTTCTAGGTTTGTTTTTCAGTACACCTCCCTGCTAACAAAGATACCAAATACAATCCATAGTAGTAAGAGCATATTTCCATTTGATGGAAAGCTACAGCTGGAAAACAAGTTTCACACTACAAATTATCTACACAAATTTATGAACTATCAAAAGACTGACATAAAGGAGCAAGAGTTACTCCTTTTTACAAACCCAAACCAAAAAAGATTTTGTTTGCATGAAACGTAGCTCACAATATTGCCAAACCCACAATCTGTTGACCGCAGCATCTTGATAAACTGTAGTTTCTGGGGGTAACTCCTTTTTACAAACCCAAACCAAAAAAAATCTTGTTTGCATGAAACGTAGCTCAGAATATTGCCAAACTCACAATCTGTTGACCGTAGCATCTTGAAAAACTGTAGTTTCTGTGGGTAACTCCTTCTGTTCTTTTTTATTCAGGTATGTTCTGTATTCTTTGGACCTTTATAATGACAGTGCTCATTACGCTCTTACCAAGTTTAAGAAGCAGTTCCTGTATGATGAAATTGAAGCAGAGGTAAAGTAACCTTACCTACTGGGGGAAAATAGTCTGTGCTTGAACGTGAAAACTATGCTGAAGTCAAAGACTTATTATGAGAGATTCGGAGCACATGGTGATTACGAAAAAACTGAGAGGACAGACAAAAGACTGGCAACTCTAGGTGATACCTTGTGAGGAAATAGATCTGTGAAACCCTTTACACCAAAGCTGAAGACTGAATGTCATCATCCTGTGGGAGGGGCTGGAAAATTAACATGTGTTAACTTCCTGAATTATTTTTGCTAAGCAATAGAAGTCTTGAAGAAGCTCCCTCTTTTAGTGTTAAGTAGCTCTAAACACTTTTTTTCTTCCTCAAGGTAAACCTGTGTTTTGATCAATTTGTCTACAAGCTGGCGGACCAAATATTTGCATACTACAAGGCAATGGCTGGCAGGTAGCTGTTCCTATAGTGAGAACTTTTATTGGTGTATTTCTTTTCCCATTTGCTGTTTAATGTGATTTAAGCACCTTTTTCCTCTCTTAACAGTCTGCTGCTGGATAAACGGCTGCGTTCAGAATGCAAGAACCAGGGAGCAACCATTCAGTTACTGCAGTCCAACCGCTACGAAACGCTGCTGAAACAGAGACACGTGCAGGTGAGCAACTTTGCTTTTGAGTTGCTCTGCAATTTTTTGTTGATTTATGTAAATATGCAAGGCAGTTTGTATTCTTTATAGTCTGTCATCTAAGCAGCATAGCTGATATTTGGGATAGATTTCTTTTTGTCTTATGAAAGAACAACGAGTTGGAAAGATCCTTTTTTAATGTGAATGAGTATCTTTTGTGGTTAAGCACACACAAGCCAAATAGGAATGTCACATGTGGTAGTATTGTCTGTCTGATGATTTATTTTTATCTATTTTTTAAATGGTGTTTTAAAAATTGTCAGCACAATGACAGAGGAGCATAAAATGGTGATAGAAATACTTGGATGTAAATGCAACACGTAATTTTACGGCTTTCTTTTTATAATCCTTGGAGTGTAAAATGCAGTACCGTATTTTTTCGTGGAGATTTTATCCAGCTGCTCTGTTTCGGGGTGCTTGGAATGCCATTTCACCATGTCTGAGGCTCTTAGCATGTGAAATCTCGCCATTTTGTGCAGCTGGTCTCGTACCTTGACATCCGCTTCGAAACTTCATAAATGTTTTCCTTCAGCTTCTTGGCAGGTCAATAGACTTGAACCGACTAATCACGCAGCGGATTTCAGCAGCCATGTATCGATCCATGGAACTGGCAATCGGCCGCTTCGAGAGCGAGGATTTGACCTCCATTGTGGTGAGTCTGGTGTTGCTGCTGTCCCAGAGAGCCGGCGGGGACGGTGCTGCTCTGGAGAGCTACTGCTTTTCTTTTTTATTTGACTGCAAGATTTTGTTCTCATTGAGGTTGACTGACACCTAGACTCGTCGTTTTGCACTATAAAGCTGTGCTCATTTTTAACAGAAGCAAACAAGTTCTATTGTTTTTTTTCTGGACTATACAACTATTCTCTAATGAATAGATGGAAAGTCATTCCCTTCTTCTGAAGGGAGACAAGGCTGAATGACTAATGTGCCCATTTGCAATTTGTTTTGTTCCAAGGCTTAGTTAAATATACGCAAATGGAAAAGAATGAAGCAATCTTAAAAAGATTGCTTATATTCTTTAAAACAAACAAACAAAAAAACCCAAATCTTTTATTTGCTTTTTGTTTTTCCTTAAGTGTGAAATCAAGTAACATGGCTGAAGTTTGTCTCATTTACTAAGTCTGGACTGACCAAACCCCTTACTGGCGAAGCAGCTAATTCTGGCAAAAGAAATTCCTTTGAAGTGTAGTTATCCAGCTTCAACTACTCTGTAAATTCAACTGGCAAATCCTCTCTTGCCATTACAGAGTGTAATGGGATTTATTGATTCTGGGGTGTTTTATATATTTTTTAAGCCAACTTTTACTTGGGCTTTTATATATAAGTTACAGACCAAAACAAGATAGCCCTGTGCCTGGTAGAATTAAATGAGTTTATTTGACCAAGCAGCTTGGTTTTCTAGAACTGACAAAATAATGACTTTTTTTTTTTGTAAAGAAATGAGGTCTGACTCACACCTGTGGAGGGAGAGCATCTGGGCAATGCCAACATGTCTTTTGGAGTTAGTTTCCTGATTAAAATGTTAATGAGCAAATTTGATTTCCAGGCAGCCTATATTTGACAAATAAATAGGCAGTCAAAAAGGACAGAAGATAGTCATTCTGATCAGTGTGAGTGAAAAAAGGCAAAAATTGAGCAAGAACTTTTACCATTGGTCTTACTTTAGCGTGTCTTTCACCTGTAAGATTTTGTAATGCAGTAGCTGCTTTAAGTGTCTTTGTTGATTTCCTTCTTTACGGAACATAAAACAAATATTGGCCTGCAGAGCTGGGCAGGACTATGGATCTTCATGACTCTTGGGTGCTTGGTGTTTGTCTTTGAAGTGTTTAAATGTAGTTTTTCTTTGTAATGTGCACGATTTTCCTGGCATGTGGCTAAGTGAACAGAAATCACTGATAATGTGTAGTTTAGATCATAGGTTCTCACTCTTTTCTCGAGTTAGAAGTGGACAAGGTATTTATCTACTTTCTCTTGATTCTCCACTGTATTAAATGAACTGCTTGATTTTCTTTTTTTTTTCTTTATTTTTTGTAGGAGCTGGATGGCTTGATAGAGATAAACAAAATGACTCACAAGCTTCTGAGTCGGTATATGACCTTGGACAGCTTTGATGCCATGTTCAGAGAAGCTAATCACAATGTGTCAGCCCCATATGGAAGAATCACCCTTCACGTCTTCTGGGAACTCAATTATGATTTCCTTCCAAACTACTGCTACAATGGATCCACTAACAGGTTAGCCTGGCAGCCTTTTGTTGGCAGCTGTTCTCTGACTTTCCTGCAACTCCTTTCCTAGCAAACACTGGCCAAGGTCATCTCCACTCATTTGGCGTATTTACTACATATGCTTTGTTTGAAACAAAGAAGAATGAGTCGATTTACTGTCAGGTGTATGAAAATCTATTATTTTTCTATGGAAGAAGTCCAATGTAACCTCATCATCAAACTGTTACGATATTTTAATGTTGTAGCTGTGATGCGCTGGAAAACAAAGCATGTCCAAAACCATTGCCAAGTGGGTGTCAGGAAGTAAACAAGAATTAGTAAGCAAGATCTTCAGCTGTGAGATGATGGAAATAAAATCACATTTCTCTTGATTCTGTGATTCTCCACATGAACATTCTGTGTTCATGTGAAGAAAAAGGATGGCTTACAGGGTAAGGGAAGAGCTCTCTGTGTGTTGAATGGGATTTTATTTGCATTATTGCTGTCTTCCATGTCCGTAGACCTTCTGGCTCTGTCACACATATCAATTGGACATAACTGAGCCTTCATCAGCTAGAGAAAGGCAAGAGTGACTTCAAAGCATTTCCTCTCCTTTTAGGCACAGAGAAGACTCATAAATCTGCAGTGCTCATTCAGTGAAGGCATAAATTATATTTTAGGTTATATGTTTCCTCAGATACTAGTGCTGTGTTTGAAACTTAGTCTCTTTGTTCTGAAGCTTTGCTTGTTTTATTTGGCTGGTGGTAGCAGAAAGACAGAGCAGGTCAGGAAAAAGAGTTTTGTTCCAGGCCCCTTCAGTGTTCCAGGGGTCCTTCAATCCTACTGTTGTGGTGCTTATGGAGAGGGAATGATGGAAAGAGAAGAGAGTGAGAATCTAAAATCTGAAGCAGCGGAAGGCACAGTGCTTGGCACTTTGTATTTCTGGACTTCTTGCTTTGTGTTCAGTTTTGAGGGTTTGTGTTACAATCAGTTTTTGCTTGGATTTTGGTGAAGTGACAGTGCAGTGGTATTGAATATTGGACGCTAGGAAAAGGAGGACCGATGTCCTTACCTTTCTCTGTCTCTTTGGACAGTTTTCCCTGTCTCATGTGAGCTGTGCTGGCAGTGTTGCATTTTAGATCTCCGATTCTGTCTGCAGAAAAACTGACTTTTTGAGCGAGAACTTTACTGCAAAAGCTTTTCATTGCCTGAATCACTCTGCACAGCATACTGATATATTTTTGAAGAAGCCTCTTTGCATGTTGAGTATTATCAACATGTGTAGAGATGCACATTAGAACATGCAGTGTGCTGCGTTAAGAATCGCCTAGTCGTAATATAAAAAGAAACATTTTGATCAAATGTCCATGTGTCACCTGGCAGCTTTAATGAAGGATGTCCAGTGGGTACCAAAACGGTTGAATCTGCGCTCATCCTGCCCACACAGACAGTGGGCAGTGCCTTAAGACAAAGTGTATGTGACGCTGTGGCCTGTCCCGCTGCGGCGCGCTGCCTCTTGCTGACTTGTAAAGAACACGCGCTCGGTGTGAGTTAGGCTGAGCTTCGAGCTTGTGGGATGATTAATTCAGGATACTTAATTAAAGGGATGATAAAGCGGGGGGCGTATCTTAGGCAACATCTGCACCGTGTGTGCAGCCTGACGTGTTTCATCATGGAATTTCAGCCCAAAGCGGGTCCCTGACGCACTTGAAACGGCAGCGTGGTGAGAGGATTATGTGTTTGTACAGCCACCATATGGTGCCCACGGGCATTTTTGCTGGAAGAGGAAAGACAGTCGGCGCACCATTCCTAGGCATGCTTGTTACGCAGACTGCTGCCTTGAGCAAGCTCCTCGGGGAGCTCTGGGGAGGTGCAAAAAGAAAAGCTGGAAAGCAGAGGCAGGGATTAAGGTCCCAGACTTATTTATTTATTTTTAAATTTAACTGGAGCCTATGTGTAATGGTCATTCCTTTAAAGTTAATATTTCTGTCAGCTTGCCTGGTGCCCGGTAACTTTTGAAGCTTTCTTTTTCCCCAAGCGTGCTTGCAGTGGCTGATTTCAGACATTTGTAGAGAGTTCAGGCGTGTACAAAGCCTTCAGGTTTTGTTCAGAGGCTGAGGATTTTTCCATACAGAAGTACTGAAATGTGCTGGGTGTTGAAATATTTGGGAGGATGCCAAGAGGATGAGACCACACTATTTCAGTGGTGCCCAGTGACAGGACAAGAGGCAACAGGCACAAACTGAAGCACAGGAAATTTTGCCTGAATATGTGGAAAACTTCATTACTGTGAGGGTGACAGAGCCCTGGAACAGGTTGCCCGGAGAGGCTGTGATATCCTCATCCTTAGAGATGTTCAAAGCCCACCTGGATGCAGTTCTGTGCAATGTGTTGTAGATGGCCCTGCTTGAGCAGGGGGGCTGGACAAGACGATCTCCAGAAGTGTCTTCCAGGCTCAACCATTCTCAGCTTCACTGTAAGCTTTCTGGCAGCCCTTACAGCAATACCATCAAATTTGATTTGATCCCCAAAATACCTTTTTTGGGGAGCTAGTGTAATGTTTTAGCAATCACTGCTGAAAAGCCTGCTGCCTTACCAAACTTTGCATCTGCTTCGTCTTTATAATGCACGTTTGATTACAATGGGTAAATTGCTGCAAGTTTATCAACAATGATTAAAAATAAGAAGAACAAATTATCTTGAAGACAGGGATAAAATAGTGTATAAATGACAGCTAAAACTGTTAAACAAATACAGAAAATCCTCTCCTGAAGCTGTAAAATCTCCCAAGAATTATTCAGATTACTCAGAAATAGAACTTGAAGTCCAGTGGGCACAATTGTTAACAGCTATAACTTTGGTGCAGGTTTGGGTGAAATGTGAAATGTAAATTATACAAAATTAACGGGCAATACAAGAGGCCCGGGTTGGTACACCCTGTTCATTAGAATATTCGAATGTGCAGAGTTTTACTCAAACACTGTTTTTCAGACTCTCAGAGACCTCACTGTGGAGAGGGCTGTTTGATCCTGTCTTTTGCAGTACTCTGCATCTCTGTAGTTCTCATACCATCCTGTCTCTTACACTACACAGGTGTAAAGCTGTTTACTCAACACGGTTTGTGGTGGTACATGTTCACCCTGAAGTATGGAGAGATTTTACTAAGACTAATTTTGGTAGGAGAGTTATACTCTTAATCTTAATTATGTGCAGGAATTAGCCTGAAGGAAAATCCTGTTGTGATATTCTTTGTAAAATGACCTTAAATGGACATATCACTTCTTTGTAGGTGCTGTTCATCCTTAAGGATTTAAGTTTGGAACCTCAAGGAACTTCCTCCCTCTCCCTGATGCGCCACTATAATAGTTTTGTTGGTTGTTTCTCCTTTTGCTGGGCAAAGCTAGGCTAGAGATGAGAACTACTTGGGACCCTGCACACAGCTGGGAAGAACAGCGTGCCAGTGAGCGAGGGAGAGCTGAATTCTGTTTGCATCTGGGTTTTGGGTCCATGCAGGCTGATGTGCTTTCCCTTTCTCAAATTGGCCTTCTCAATATTTTTTTTAATATGCTGATAAAAGCACTGTTATGTCGGGTTAGATGCATTAGGTGCACACCTACTAACCAAGTTAATTGATCTTTTCTTTTGTTTTTATAGATTTGTTCGAACTGTGCTACCCTTTTCTCAGGAGTTTCAGAGAGACAAGCAGCCCAATGCACAGCCCCAGTATCTCTACGGATCGAAGGTTGGATTTTATTCCTTTTATGCTTGTGGCTTGCACATCTTAAAAGGTGTCTTTTTAATTAGAGAGATTGTGGGAGATATGAAAGTTATTACCAGTGACGGGCTTAATTACTTAATTGAGAGTATTCCAGAATCAGCATATGCTCTCTTTTCTGACTTTGCTCTGAACATTACCATATGTTCCAGCCAAAGTGCAAATGGTTGGTTAGATGTTATGTCTTATCTGACACTGCTAGAAATAGGTCCTTCTTTCAAGCCCCTTGCACTGCACAGTTGCTGATGGTGGCAGAACTGGCTCCTAGAAATGCACAGACTGGAATTAGCTGGCGAGGGCAGAGTGAGAGGCCGTCGTGGAAGCAGCTGCACCCTCGTTACGGTGCTGAGGGCTGTGGCGGCAGGAAAAGCAGAATAAATAGGAAAAACTGCGTCAAATGTAATCTCACTTTGAAAGGAACATAGATTCTGACCATCCTAAGCTATCATTCAAATACTAAGCTTCTTAAATTATTTTAAAGAAAATTTAGCATTATTTTGCCATCTTCAACTGGAGGGTCTCAAAGTGGGACTGATGAACTTGGCCTCCTGGCAGTCTCCTCTGCTGCATTAGCATCATCTGTCCTCCTCTGAGATTACAAGTGCCTACAACCTTAAGGGAAGTTTTCTGCAGAAGTAAATATAAGAGGCAGCAATGGCATCCAGCTCTCCTCATTTGTAGCTGTGAACTGTATGGTTAAGGCCAACCCAAAACTGAAGTTGGAAAGTGACAAATAATGGTGGTAAGTTGTGGGAGAACTTAGCCCAAGAAAATAGACTTAAGGAGTTTTAATTGGACTATCCAAGTGAGGAAAATTAGCAGGTATTTACAGGACCAAAGCTGTGTTCCTGTGTGTAGTACTGGAGGTTGGAGAAGAAGACTTTTTCTCCCTGATTATTTCAGATTTATTTCTTTAAGCTTAGGAATTGAATAGCTGAGTTTTAACAACAGCCAAAGGCGTAGCACGAATAGATCTGCATTTTTAATATCCAGTCAGAAATACTCATCAGGAAAAAAGCATCAATGGTATCTTGAGCAAATCATTTCAGAGTATTTAACAAGAAATAGCACTCTAATTTTGATCTGTTCTTTTGAATGTCAGGGAGGGAAAGTGATTAGAGAAATGTTGGCAGAAAAAAAAAAGAAAAAAACAGCTTTAAATGATTATAGGACCCAACACTAGCTGTAACTTGCACAAGTAGACTATGCCATCAACTTCATTATCTACTTCCTATGATAATATGCTTAAATCTCATCCTACTGTTTTTGTTTGTTTGTTTTTTCCTACATATCATATCCTACTTTCACAATGCAAACTGTGTTAAGTAATTTGCCCAGCTAGCTAGTGTTTGGAAGAGCTGAAGAGCTAGCTCACAAGTTAAAAATCTCAGTTCTAATATATCTATTGCTACAGTAGAAGGTCTTTGCCTTTGAAATGTAAAGGAGATGGAAAAGATTCATATTTCTTAATGTGGAAAGCTAATAAATTATTTTTGGTACTGTCATTAGGGTTTATATAATTCTTCTCCTATAGCTAGGGAACATTAAATTATAGGAAAGCTTTTTTTACATTAGTGTTATTGTATTCTTTACTATTTCAGGAACTCAGCAGATGCAGCGTAAAGAGCAAAAAAAAATCCACAGAATTTGGTAGAGATTGCTACCTTAATTTGTCTAAGTGGTGATACAGCAGTGTAAGTGGGAGAGGATTAACTAGGGAACCTTTTTGCATCAGTCAGGTTACATTATTAAAATAAATTTAGTAGCCTTTACTCTGTAAGCTGTACATTTTCAGAAATCTGATTACTTTTGTATTGCCATGACCAGCAACAATCTGTTCCCAGAAGCAATTCTGCAACTTCTGTAACTGATTATTTCTGTATTGCCAAATATTCTTTGTACTTTTGTGCTTGAGCCTAGTGTACTTTGGAACTGAGAATATCTGAGTAGAACTTTAAGAGGACATTTTTAACGTATATAACAAGTAATGAGTTGACCTGTAATTCTTACTCGACAGAGGTTAGAAATTCCAGTATGTGCTTCTAATGTTCTGTGCACTGTCCGCCCAGGCTTCTCACTGAATGCATCCACTCTCTGTATTATCTGAGTCCTTCAGCTGTTCCTGTGTTGAATTGCCTTGTGTCTGGATAACAGTGGTTTATGCAGTAGCTGTGTGCGTGTGTTTTTGTTTGTTTTGTTTTGTTTTATTGTATTATCTTTTTTAAGTTCTTGAACTCTTTGAGGTGTCCAAGGTATTGATCGTATATCATTAGATAAAGACGTTGTGGTTTCCTTTGCACGTGTGCAGTCGTATATTCGAGTTTGGGATTATAATGGTTAAATACTTTCTCTGCAGAATTTTTGTACAAGCGATGTGTTACTTAAGAGTACTTAAAGAAAAACCTAGCTTTGGTCTCAAAGACTTCACGTAATATCAAATATTTCTAAGTGAATCAAGGCGTTTCTTCTGTGTTAATTTGTATGCATGTTCTGCAGAACGTGGATTTCCCTGTTATCTAAGTAAATTTTTCCGAGCAGTATCATTATCTTGTTAGCAAAACAGAAGGCTGCTGATGCGAATTTCTCCTGGCTGTCAGGAGAAGTTAATTCTGCAAAGGAGAATTGGATAATTTGGAGCAGAGGTGTCAGATAGGACAAGGGGTAATGGGTACAAATTGAAACACAGAAAGTTTCTGCTGCATATGAGGAAGCACTTCTTTCCTGTGAGGGTGACAGAGCCCTGGAACAGGCTGCCCAGAGAGGCTGTGGAGTCTCCTTCTCTGCAGATCTTCCAAACCCGCCTGGATGCCACCCTGTGCCACGTGCTCTGGGTGTCCCTGCTGGAGCAGGGGGGTTGGACTAAATGATCTCTAGAGGTCCCTTCCAACCTCAGCCGTTCTGTGATTCTGTAACTCTGCCCGCAAAAACCTGCCAGGCTCTTAAATGAGCCGGAATTTTTTGAGAGCTTTTTGAGCATGGTCATTGAAATGCCTGTACTCTCCTGAAATGTGTGTAGGATTAATAATGAATGGAGATTGCAGTTTGATTATAGAGGAGAAGGCGATAGTGGGTGGATGAATAAAATGCTTTGTAATGTGTGTGTAAAAAAGAGTCCCTTTTGGAGATTTGAAACTAACTTTGCCTGTTAATAAAGTACCTGTTTTTTACTGACGTTTTGTAGACTGACAGCTTAAGAACTTGCTTTCTGGCTTATACAACATTTTCATGTTTGAATGTCTTCCACATTTTGGGATGCTAACTCATTCTGTGGAAAAAAAATCAAAAGACTGCTTTTCAATGTGAATGTGATGATTTTTATCTAGTGCTGGTGTATGTACTAACAGCAGTTTGCACTGTGTTGCACTACGCTAACTCTTGTTAACCGTTCAGTTGTTGCTTGAACTGCTCACCCTTTATTAGATCAGCTAAAAGTGGAGAGTGGGGTACCTGGAATGCTGGATTGCCGAAACGAACCTGAGGCTGGAGGCTAATGGAAAGGTGTGAGGCAATTGCATAACCTCGAGTTTGAACCTTTATGAATCTATAATAAAACTTTCTGAGCAAGATAGGAGGAGAATCCTGTAGCTGTGTGTGTGCAATCACATCAGCTCTTCAAAACTAATGCAAGCCCCTAAATGACACTTTTTATATATTGCTATTTTACAGTGGCTTCAAGACAGTCATTGCTTGTAAAATGATACAAATATTTATCTAAGTAGTGCACAGTAAATTCCTTGGATGGAATTCAGCTTTATGTTTAGATGAGCTAAATCTCATCCTTGGGAACGCTTCCACTATAGCTTCTTGCCTTCTCAGGATGATACATACAAGTGTGTTTCTGTACATGTGCTTGGTTTGTGTCTATAACAATAATTCAAGGAGCTGAATTGCCTCAAACTGCTCCTTGACTTCTCAGAGTGGTATATATGTCTGTTTGAGTAATACACGAATGGGTGCATTGAGCTGCCTAAAACTCCACATTAAGAAGTGGAAAAAAAAAGAATAATATCTTCCAGGTGCCTAAGAAATGGGAGTTTTTAAGTCTCTTGGCTCTATACATTTACCGTTTATCTCTTTTATGATATGCTAGTCAGAGAAATGTTGCAGTTTGATTGCAAGATGATTTTAAAACATGTGTTTTCTATCCTTCTCCCCCCTCTCCAGGTAAATCTGTAGCATTAGCATCATGTTCTGAAGTGATTCTTTTTCAGTATTTCTGAAAAACAGTTTCACAGGATACATTAATTTGAAAGCAGGATACATTCATTTGAAAACATAGTAAACGCTTTTTCATCTTTACAGTTTATTGAAGAAGGATGTAAAAGACAAAAAAGCCCCCCAAGAAGTCAGCTGGAGGAAATGCTGTGTAGGGTTGGCAAGCCCATGAATGCTTACTTGATACAATTGAACATTTTTTTACACGTTTTCTAATAAATTCTGTTCTGTGCATCTTATCTATCCTAATAGGAAAAAAAAAGTAATGAAAACGAATCAAAGTTAGGTCAGCTTATGTATTTCTAGCAATGCGACAGTAGAAGCCAGTGACAAACAGTGGAAATTGTTGCTAAAATGCAGTAGCTGAAAATACCTACTGCCTCCTGTGAAATATTTGAGCAGGGGCTCTCCTACCAAAGCTGCCCGCACGTGCTTTGGTCTCCAGAACACAGTGAGGACCCACAGCAACTGTCGAAATAGCAGTTCTCCGTCCTTCGTTACTATAATGAGCTGGCTTGAAGTACATGTTCTTGTTAATAGCAATTTAAAATGCATGCAGTCATAGTATATATTTGTTTTTAGAAATAGCCTATGATACAGTGATACTAAGACTTAGTACATTTTTATGGAATACAAATGCAACTAAGAGATTTAAAAATGGGTGTCTCGTACATATGAGCCAGACAAGACACATGATTTTGTGAGGGTGAACAGATTTCTGTCTCGGGGCCTCTCTTGGTACTTTGTCAAAA